TGGGTCAAGGACCTGTATCTGGGTTGCTGATTCCATCCTGGCCCCAGTTGGAGTCCTTCAGGAGGCAACCAATAATGTGAGATGTTTCGCCCCCACCCCCTTCCACTCTATCTAAAAAAAGAGCAATGGAAAATATCCTCTAGTGAGGATTAACAACAACAAAAAGGCAAGAAAAAGGGTCAGGGGAGAGGGTAATAATTAACTACAAAACAAAAACAGTTTTAATGAGACAAATCAATTCTATGCAATGTGTGGGTCAGCTGAAGCCCTGCAGGCGGCTCCGTGGTTAGAGCCTCACGCACAAACCAAAGGGTCGAGGGTTCGATTCCCTGTCAAGAGCACACATGTACCTGGGTTACAGGTTTGACGAGGTCACCTGCAGGAGACAACCAGTTGATCTCTCTCTCTCTCTATCCCCCTTCCTCCCTTTGACTCTCTGTAAAAATCAATGAAAAAAAATATCTTCTGGTGAGGATTAACAACAACAACAACAACAACAAGAAATAAACTGAAAAGAGGCATTTCAAAGATAGGGCAGTTTGAACACCTACTGATTATTAGATAACATTAAAATTATTGTTAACACTATAAAGTATAGGCCGGCTGGTGTGGCTCACTGGTTGAGCATCGACCCTGCACCAAGAGGTTGCTAGTTCCATTCCCGATCAGGGCACATGCCCAGGTTGTGGGCCAGATCCCCAGTGGGGGGCGTGCAGGAGGCGGCCAGTCAATGTTCTCTCTCCTCCATGATCTCGCTCCTCAATGTTTCTCTCTCTCTCCCTTCTTCTCTTTCTAAAATCAATCAATAAATAAAAATCTATGAAGTATAATAATGACATTGTGATTATAAAAGGAGGCCTGATGTGTTATGGATAAATACTGGAGTACTGCCAGGGAGAATGATACAATGTGTATGGTTTACTCTAAAATACTCTGGCAAAAAAACAAAAACCCCTGTGCAGATATTGAAGCAAGATTGCCAACTATGGAAAATTGTTAAAGCCTCGGTAATGCACACATTAGGGTTCATTAAACTATTTTTTGCTATGGGCATACTTGAAATGTTTCAAATTAACAGCTAAAACTACAAATATAGCCCAGCTGGTGTGGCTCAGTGGTTGAGCATTGACCCATGCACCAAGAGGTCACCAGTTCGATTCCTGCTCAGGACACATGCCCAGGTTGTGGGCCTGATGCCCAGTGAGGGGGCATGCAGGAGGCATCGGTTCAGTGTTCTCTCTCATCAATGTTCCTATCATTCTCCCTCTCCCTTCCTCTCTCTCTAAAATAAATAAAATAAAACAGGTAGCCATTCGATGTTCTCTTTCATCGATGTTTCTATCTTTCTCTCCCTCTCCCTTCCTCTCTCTCTAAAATAATTTAAAAAACGACAAATAGAACCTTGTCAAAAGATGTCCAAGAGCTATGAATATAAATCGATCAAAACTTGATGGTACCAGAGTTATATTTATATGTGTGTGTGTATAAAATAGACACACGTAGAAATATGTTAAAAATCTGTTGAGCTCCCAAAGCAAGATTCAGCGAATATAAAACACAAATATGCCAGGGTTACTATGCATCAGGATGCTCTCTGAAGTTAAGAGCCTTACACATCACAATTCCCTCTGAACTTGAGAGCGTTACAAAATCCAAAGGGAGATCTGTCAATATCTGTACCCAAGTATGAACGCCCAGATAGATACCTTCTTGCTCCTGCTCTGATATTATTATCATATAGTTTGCCAGTTGCACCTTGCTGGTGATTGATACTGAGAACCAGGGCCCCCCGCTGGTTCTCACCCTTGTGACTTCCTGGCCCCCACAACACAGGCTGGCTGTACCTCCCCCCTCCCTTGGCCTCAGCTGTGACAATTCTCAGTTGGCCTGACACTTCTACCCTCCAGGCTGAGCTCTTTGATTCTGAGCACCTCTGCCCCAATTCTCAACTCAGCTGTGAGTGTCCCAAGCAGCTCCCCTACATCTTCAGCTAGCTTGAGCTTTCAATCATTTTCCATCTTCACTATTTCATTGTTCGATGTTCTTCTGTTCTGTTATGTCTAATTTATTATTTCTACCGTAGTCTTTTTTTTCACCCCCTACAGTTAAGCAAATAATAAAAATGTGACTTTGAAGTGAGGTATCAGGTGTAGAATGTTTCTTTCTGGTCATCAAATCAGCTACTACAACGCTCATGTGGCTGGCTGGGTTCTGAATGGTCCCCTGGCTGCGTTTTTGTTCTCTAACTACAATGTCATGTCTGAAAACTGTAGCCAGTTCTTCGTCTCTGTGGGTACAGTCCCGTCGTAGCACCGGGAACATGGAAGGATAACAAAAGGTGCTCCCTAAGTGTTGGAAAGACCAGATGTTACGGCAGTAAGATGAATATCTAACTGAAATCTTTAAGGTACTTAGGTGAACAGGCTATTTGACACAGAGGAAGGATGTATTGGAATAGAATTCACAATGGATATTATGTGCTGAGGAAAAATAATCAATTTAGAGAAAGAAAACTTTCAAAGAAAGGCAGTAGTTAACATTTGCTCTCATTAAGATGATAATCCTGTCCGTAATACTATTGATAATAATGATCATCATAAGAATAACTGAACAAATTAATTTCTGCCCAGTAATCCTAAATACCTGTATTCGCTTTGTTATTGCATGCGTTCCCGAAAGCTACTTTCCAATGAGAGTTCACGGTCATTTCAGAGATGACAACCGGAGGCCTGGAGAGGTGAGAAAACCTGAGGGGTCACTTGGGGAGAGGTGCAGAGCTGCCCCTCATCCAGGCAGACTGTTTCTGGAGCTTCTTTGGGTGACACTGGTCCCAGCACAGTCTGAGGTCCTTTGAACTGAACAATTCACCAGGAGAAGACAGCGTGGGGAAGGGAAAGTCCACTTGAAGAATTGGGTGCCCTCCCTGTCCCCTCCTTCCCCCCTACTGACCCCAGCTTCCAGCCTCCCAACCCCCAACCTCAAACATCCCTCTGCTCGGAGACTGGTTTCAGTTTCCTTTTCCCAAACCAGCAGTATGATCTGGGGCTTTCCAACACTCAGTGTCCTGAAAACAGTTTCCTTTCCTCCGGTGCACTGGTACGTTTCTTTCCACCCCTGACTCAATCTATGGTGAAGAGAGTTTGACCACAAATAACTTCACCCAAAATGATTGGGTGATTCAATTATCTCATAGCATTAAAGTCGCCAGCCCACTTCCTACCAACTGGTTAGGACCCCCAAGAGACCAGAAGAGCATACAACACCGCGGGCTGGGGGCTTCTGAATACCAGATCCCCTGTGCCCTGGGGGGGTCGGATGGGAGCCGCAGCCTTTTCCCGGGCGAGCAGGGGCCCGGATCCCGCAGCCCTGAGCCCCTCTGACTCGGCAGGCCGCCTGGCCGCCTTTCATTCCGGAGCCCTGCGAGCACTCTGGGACCAGGGGGAGACTCCCTGGGAAATGTTCTCAGCCCCTGTGGGCTTCTCGGGGGATGGTTGAAACGGACACTTTCCTGGAGAACAGAGCACCCGGGGCAGGTCGCAGAGACCCGATGGCCGTGGCCCCCAAAGAGTCAGAGGTCCCCGGGAGAGGCTTCGACCCCAGAAACTCCCTGGAAAGGGTCACCTCGCTCCAGGACAGGCAAGTGACATCTGAAATCTTGAGGGCCTGGACCTTTCGGAGCCACCTCGTTGTCCGACAGCCACCACCGCACGTCCTGAGGCGGAGATCCTAAGCGCTGTGGCCCAGACCACGCTGGCCCCCTAGTGCTGTACCCCAGGAGAGTCAACCTCACTCGGACACAAAGTAATTCTGAATATTTGGTGCTTTATTACCTGCGCAGGGACTGCAGCCAACCTACACAGAGGAGAACTGCAGCCCCGAGCTCAGGGGGAGGGTTGCTTCTATAGGACAAGGGTTACTCAAGAGTTCAGCAGAGCAAGCGAGCTACTTGGACAGAAGCGGATGGATATCAGCAGTTAGCAGCTGCACAGTTGTTTATTTTATATTTCTGAACATTTACTAGACCCCAGCCCTGAATGTCTCATTGCCCCATCTGGCATCTCCTGATTGGTTAAGCTCATGGTCAACACCCTTGTGGTCTTGGCTGACGCATACCTTCCTGTTCAAGAGCTTTTGCAAAAACAACTCGGGGTCAAGGATAGGACAAGGTCCTTCTAGGGGATGGAAAATTACTGGGTTATAACATTCCCCACTGGCCTTATGTACAGATCAAATCATTGATTCCTGTTGTTCATCTAATGACAACCTTTGGTAATGAGAGGCCAGGACTCATCATTTGACATATTGCACTCGCTCTCTTACGAAAGCAATGAATTTGTTTATGCTTATAGCTCTACATGTCAGTCCTACAAATAGGAGTATGAGGGGCCTGCTAGAGCAGAGAGCAGAGTAGTGAGCCAGGGGACCAGTTATAAAGGCCTTCGAACCAGCCATCACAGGCCTCTTCGCTTCTGGCCCGTTGTGCGAGGCGCTTCCTCAGAACCTGAACACCCTCTCTGATGGCTCCTGAGCTGTTGGCTGGGCCTCTAAAGGGGTAAAATGTCAGTGAGATACCAGAGACCCACAGCTGAGTTGTAAAGAAGCACTTTATCATACCGGTGGCAGGGGGTGCTCTCCCCAAATCCTCAGCCACCTGCCTTCTTTGTTGCCTGCTTTTAAAGGCACAAACTACAGAAAAACAAACTACAATCCCTTGGCGCCGCTTTTGCCAGCGGTAAGGGCGGCTGATCCAGAGAAGGGGGAGAGAGGAGCTTGTTACAGGTGAGGGTAACCATTAATCTCTTTTTTCTCATGGTTCCTCTCAGTTTCCTGAGGCTGTTATTAACCCCTTATCTTTATAGTCTTCTTTGGGTTTTTCAAGGCCCTTATGTTTATAAGAAAAAGAGTCTGCCTGGGTGTGTATGTGCAGTAACTGAGGGTCAGAATGGAGTTATTACATCCCTACTGGTATGATGTACAAGTGAAATCATTGACTTTTTTTCTTATTAAGGAAACTAACTCTGTCCCTGTATTATTCCTGAATTATTGGCATAGAAACAGCAGATTTCGCCTAGTGCTACACAGAGTCTTCCCTGCTTCAGGAAAGGGAGATCTAAACCTCATCTGCTTTGTACTGCTCACGCTTATACTTAGCTGGGCATATGCAAGTCCCTTGCCTTTGGGTAGTCCCCAAAGTTAACTTGGGCTGGTCCCATGTACAGTTGTCAGCGTATGGGGTCTGGGAAATTGGTTCGGAGAGGCCTAGCCCTTTATAATAAGGTGGCCTCGAATTTGGGCATAACCAGCAGTCAGCCCCTATGACCTTCCTGTGGCCTAATAAAGGTCTGGCTGACTAATGACAGTAATCTGCATGGGGTCAGATTTTCTATAGGGAAACCCTTGGTCTTGGTTAACCTTCTAAAACCTGAATGAGGGTCCCTGCTTCTTAGATAGTCCTTAGTAGTAAATATGGTTTCACAACCTCAAGATGGACAAAACTATTGATTTGTATTTAAGTAACTTGTGGTGACAGTACCACTCCCTTGGCATACATAGGTTCCTACCCCCATAGTTCCCATTCCCCTGTAGATGTCCTATAAGCCCAGGGTAGGGGCCTTTCTATATGACATCAATCTTCAGTAATGTTATCTGTGCCTATGACCTCTCATGAGATCACATAGTTTGAAACTGAATATAGGTTTTTCTATCCCCTTTGTGGTGACATTTCTTAAGACCTCCCCTAATATCCTATTTCTAAGTTCCCAGTTCCACTGGGGCCTAGATCTATAAAGATTCCCCTGTATAGTCATAATCAGAAAAATTAGAGTCCCGATAAACGCAAGAGTCTCATTTTTAAGGGATCTGGAGAGGTCTGCACCGTCCATTCTGCTTTTTCCGCCTTCAGCCAGGAGTGGTGCAGCTAGACCAGGATGCCGTTGACCTTGACAGCCATTGGTGCAGGCAGGATGACAGCGTATGGTCCCTTCCAGGCTGGAGTTCGTCCCCGGGTGGTGAATTTCTTTACCTACATTGAGTCCCCGGGCTGGAAAGGGTGCACAGGGTCCGCGGTGGGCACAGGCATGGCATCCCAGATGTGTTTATGGACAGCCTCTGGGCAGACTGCAGGGCCTGCAAGAACTGTAAGAGGGCGAGGGGAGCAGAGTGGTCCAGATTTCACCGGTTTCTAAAGTCCTGTTCATGTGCTCACCTGCCTGGAACTCTGTGGGCGGTAAGCACAATGGAGCTGCTAATTTATATTGAATCCCTTAGAGAATCCTGTGATATCTTTGCTATCAAGGCAGGGCTGTTGTCTGATCTAAGGGCCAGGAGTAGCCTAAATCTGTTCCTCCCTTTACTGCATCCCAGACTGTTAATCTATTACTAGGGGCAGGCTCTCCCCCTCAGTGTCCTATCTTCTTCCCTTCCTGAGTATTCCTCCACTGTCCCGTCTTCCTGCAATATGTATGTCCCTTTCTTTTATCCTTCCTTAACTTTTTATTTCCTCTGCATAATCCTTTCCTTTTTATTTCTTCCGTCTCCACAATCCTTCTTCAGCTTGCTGATAGACCCTCTATGACTTACACAATCCTTCTTCAACTTACACAGACCCTCTGCGACTTTTCTAGTCCCTCCCCTGACATGAACCTGAGAGCTTGTCAATCTACCCGCTGTCTGCACATCCCCCAGCTTTTCTCCTCCTCCTCCCTACTTAGACCTGCACATTCCTGCTTCCTTCCACCTTCTCCCTTTCCCTGTGACCTTACTGGACATTGCCTGCCTCTCGGGAGTTCAGTGAGCGCGGTGTAACCTAGGGGGGTAGTCTGGTGCAGCTGGCTGACTCAAGTCCGACCCAGAGCCTCTGGGACTAACAACCTCCCATCAGGCAGTGTCCATCATCCATTGATTTCCTTCATGACTTGTTTCTGCTGGGCTAGGTCATTTTCCGACCTAGTGTATGTGGTGAGTCCCCACTGGTTTTAGGGCGGCTCTGGTCTGCAGCAGATCTCTCTTGCCCCATCAGAGAGCCTGGATTAGGGCTATGAGTTCAGCCCATTGGGCTGAAGTTCCCTTATTCAAGGACTGTGACCAGATGACACCATCCAGAGTGTCTACTGCTGTCCCAGCATACCTGATTTCTTCCTGGACATAACTGCTCCCGTCCGTGAACAATACCTCATCTGATGATGGCAGTGGGTCATCCCTGAGGTCTGGTCGGCCATCTACAGTGTCGACTGCCTCCAGGTAGTCCTGCAGAGCTTTCTCCGGGTCATCATCTGGAGGCAGGCTGGCAGGATTGATGGCCAACGTCTTGTGGAACTTGAAGTGGGGGCTGGCCTGGAGTGGCAGTGGCCAGCACTTGAATGATCTCTGGAGGAGAGCACGTCTGAGTAGGGGGTGTGGGCATTCGGGCAGGACCAGAAAGGAATCAGTCACAGTATTTTTCCCAAGGTCTATAGTCCTCTTTGGAGTCCAGGGATAGGTTAGGGCCCCACTGGCTCAGTGGACACTGAGTCTGCTCCACCAGTGTCTACCAGGAGACTAACTAGTTTGTGCCCTACTATTTAGTATTATTCTGGGTTCCGGAGGGCTCAGTTGGAAGGAGCCCTAGCCCTGTCATTTTCCTGAATTAAGGACGGCTTTTTATTTGTTCCTCTACACCTGACTTTGCCCTTGTCTTTTCTGTCCTTAATCGGGACCTAGGCCTGCAGTTCTGACCCTTCCCCATGTTTCCTTTCCTAGGGTGATGCTATTCCATGTACCCTGTTTCCCTTCAGGCTGCTATTACCACCTTTGCTAATTCAGCCATTGGGCCAATAGGCCTAACAGGACAACTCGGTGAGAAGTGTCTAAGGAAGCCCTTCCCCCGGCAGTATTTGGGTCCCACCTCGGGCAGAAAAATGGGAACATTTCCTCTGACACCAGGTTTACAAAAGGACGCAGAAAAGGGGAGCGACGTCCTAACACCTATGTTTACGCTGGGCGAAGTGTTTTTTTAACTCTCTAAGAGCACGTCGCACCCATGCCTGGGATCCCTATATTCAACTCCCCAAAGTTCAGAGAAGCTTGTTGGAAACTAGCTGCCACCAAACCGCTGTGGAGGAGCAGCCCTGGCGGGCCCGGAAGGAACAGCCCCTTCTGCAGCTGGACCCCCCGCCCCCCCCCCCCCCCGCTTTGCCCCCCAGGGAACTCTGCTGCCCCGCCCCTGGCCCTGGTGAGTGCCTGCACTAACTCTGAGTCAAAGGAGCCTGTACTGGGCCATCCTACCCCAAAAGTGAGCCGCTCTAATTCACACAGGTCCTGAGGAAGCCTGGGTCTGCTGGCTTCCCCTAGTCACAGGAGCCTTAAAGAAATCAGAGCAGTGACTCAGCAGGCATTGCAGCGGGGTTCGGGCCTTCGCGTGGGCTTGCCCCATCCTGTAGGAAGAAAAGTAGCCGGCTCACAACCTCAACACAAAGACAGACAACAGCAGACAGCGAACTTCACATTCATTCACCAACCGAATCCACAACTGGATCCGAAACTAAAGTCGGGGAACGGCGTCCCGTCGGGACCGGGTGAGGCAGTTCTGGGGCGTCCCCCTGCGGAACACCGATGCAGCCCTCGATGAAACGAACAACCGAAACAAAAACAGGTGGAAAGGATGCGGTTTCCCTACCTCCACCCGTCCCCGGACGGATTTAAAAAGCTCCTGGTCAAATCGAAAGCCAATTTAAGGCGAAGGATATGGAGGCTTCCTTCACTAGTCCCAGGAGGTCCACCCCAAAGGGAGGGGGACCTCGCGGTGATCTCTCTGGGGACTCCAAATGTTGTACCCCAGGAGAATCAACCTCACTCGGCACAAAGTAATTTTGAATATTAGGAGCTTTATTACCTGCGCAGGGACTGCAGCCCAGAGCTCAGGGGGAGGGTTGCTTATATAGGACAGTGGTCATTCAAGAGTTTAGCAGAGCAAGCGAGCTACCGGTACAGAAGCTGATATCAGCAGTTAGCAGCTGCACAATTTGTTTATTTTATATTTCTGAACATTTCCTAGACCCCAGCCCTGAATGTCTCATTGCCCTATCTGGCATCTCCTGACTGGTTAAGCTCATGGTCAACACCCTTGTGGTCTTGGCTGATGCATACCTTCCTGTTCAAGAGTTTTTGCAAAAACAACTCGGGGTCAAGGATAGGACAAGGTCCTTCTTCTAGGGGATGGAGAATTACTGGGTTATAACACCAAGGACCCCTGAGATGCCCACTAACTCCCCTCACTGCACCATCCTCCCTGAGCAAAGACGTTACAGTAACATCTCTGCATTTGCTTCACGACAATGAGGGCAGTGGTGTCCTCAGATGCTTAGATAATTATCTTTTCGCTACAAAATAAAGGTGATTAAAAAAAACAACAATGCCAGTCCTTTATTTCTCCCGCGGGTTCCTGTGCTGTCCGCAGGGAAGGACCAGGCAGAGGTGGCGATGGACGGTGCTGCTTCCAGAGGGGACCCGGGATCCCTTGGCCTTGCTGGGCGCAAGCAGAGCAGTGGGGTCCCCTGGACTCACCGGGGTGACCACTTTGGCTTTCACTTGACTTGCCCACACGCGATGGGCCTCCAGGAAAAACAACAGACAGCCTGGCTGGTGTGGCTCAGTGGTTGAGCGTGATCCACGCTCCAAGAGGTCGCCAGTTCCGTTCCCGGTCAGGGCACGTGCCCAGGTTGTGGGCCCAATAGCCAGTGGGAGGCGTGCAGGAGGCGGCCAACCGATGTTCTCTCTCATCGATGTTTCCATCACTCTCTCCCTCTCCCTTCTTCTCTCTCTAAAATCAATAAAGATCAAACATTAAAAAGAAAAACCACAGACAGACAGCAGCCTCGAGGACTCCACTTAGCCGGGAAATCGCTTCTGGTCGGCCCTGGTGCTTCCCGCCCGAGTCCATCTCAGGGACCAGGGGGCTCATGCAGCTCAGCACCTCTCTGTGGCCCCTCCTCCGCCTTCGGGGCCCCTCCTCCGCCTTCTCCCCATCCTCCTCTCCAATCGCACCCAGAAGTTCAGGGTTCCTCAGTGCCTGACCACCCCGCAGCAGCTGTCCTTACCCCTTCCGACTTGTCGCAAACCGAGTGCCCAGCGCCTGCTGGCAACCGGGGGAGGTGACCCGCTCCAGGATCGCTGGGGTGGTTGGTGAAGGTCGTGGAGACGGGTGAACTGGACACGTGGCCTGGGAAACCAGCCATCCTGAGCACCTGGAGAGGATGCGCTCTGCGGGTCAGGGACCGCACATGGGGGTGGGGTGTTCGCTGGCGATCCCTACTCAGACTGGGTGACTTTTCCAACCTGCCCAAGCTCTCCATGCCAAGGGGACTTGAGCTCCCTCATCCAAGGCCATGGGGAGCCTACAAGGACTCTCCCTGGAGAACAAAGCCTAGCCAGGTGTCAATCACCTGCCTGGGGCCCAGCAATCAGGACCCCTTTAGAATTCCCCTATGGAGATGATTGCGAATACACGAATACACGTGGGGCCCCCAGAGTTTTCGAGAACTTATTGTGGGACCATCCATTTTCTAGTGATACAGAAATAGGGAACACAAACAAGGGTACCCTTAAAGGTCTAGCTTTTTTCATTCCAAAACCTGGAGTTACAGAACAACATTCCTTCATTTCATTAGCTTAATGGATATATTTCTTTGGGGATTTAAAATGATACAGTAAGCGCGGCCAGTGTGGCTCAGTGCTTGGGCATGGACCCCTGCACCAAGAGGTTGCCATCCAGATTCCCGGTCAGGGCACATGCCCAGGCTCTGGGCCCAGTCCACAGGGAGGCATGGAAGGGAGCCAATGGATTTTCTCTCATAGGTGTTTCTGTCTCTCCACCTTGTCACTTCCCTTCCCGCTTAAAAAAAAAAAAAAAATCAATGAATAAAAGAACAAACAAACAAAAAAACAGAGTAGCTTAAAAAATGTAATTATACACTAAAACCTCAATATAATGAACTAATTTGGACAACGGGGTGTCTATTAAAGTGGAAAATATGTTATGTAAAGAAAAATAGGCTTTCTGAATGCAAGTGTTAAAAAAATTGGGAATTACTTTATCAGTTCTTACTTATGTAGACATGTAGTGTAATTAGAATTGTGTATGAAAAGTTTAATTACACAGAACACTTTTCTGTGTACTGTGGTCATTTTAAATTCCTACTGAATGGGTCCAGGAGAACCTGCCTTCACCAGTCACCCCGACTAAACAAATGCACCCGCCTGAGCATGGCCTCCCTCAGGTCATTACACCCCACCCCAGGGCTCAAACCTGCTGCTGAGTCACTCCAGGACCATAGATCCAATCACCGCTGGTGCCAGGCGCTGTGATCCCCTGAGAACCATTTGCAGGACACTGATCAGTGTGTAGGAGCAGTAACTCTTGAATTTAAATATATAGACTACAGTTGTAGGAATGTAATATTTATTATTGTTCATCAAACAATAGTGTTTTTTTCCAACATATGTCCTATTCACTGGAATTTGTTAAAAATAACACTGAATGAATAACAAAAAAATAACCTGTTAACTTAGCTATAAGCAAATCTTGGTAAAAGGTATTTTAAAATTAATGAGGTGTTAACTTTCACATATGCTATAGGGACTGGAAAATTCTCTGTTAAACTGAGATCAACAAAATCTACAAAATAACTTTACTGTATTATTGAAATTTGTTATTTTACACCTTTGCTAGCCCTTAGTTTTGACTGCAAGCATGCTAATCTTGTGGGCATACTGTGTGTGTGTGTTGGGGAGAGATGTTGCTTTTCTGTGTGTGTGTGTGTGTGTGTGTGTGTGCTTTATGTAATAGACTGTCATTCGTCTTGTGTTTCAAGAATATGTGCTTTGTCGACCATCAACTAGAACAGACTGCTGTAAACATAGCTTGGTATATATGAACCATATGATAAGCACAAACCAAAAATCAGCCAGAGATATACAAGAAATAAGGAGACAAACACCACACTACAGAAAATCATCAACATATGAGACCGGGGCTGGAGAAGGACAAGGGGCTGCCTCAGGTCTTTAGGTGACCCCAGGTCATACTGCCATGGACTTGAGCAAACCTCCCCTCCCTGTGGTGGGCATGGGCATGGCCAGGTGTCTCTGGGCTAATGACAAAGGAACTTTATTTCTGGGCCTGAATCAAGGTCAGAATTTAATCTGGGCAAATCTTGGAGTGTGAGAGGGTGAGACAGGAATCAGTATGAAACATAAAGTCTTTCTCTTGAATAATTTTCCTTCTTAGTCTAATAAGCAGCTGCATTCGGTGTTTAGTTTCAGCATCCTCTCCACCCTCCAGCCTCAGCACCACCGCCATTCCCAGGCCCTGACCCATCAGACTGGACGCCTTGACCTCTGGGCTCCATCAGAGCCCCTTGGGGACTGGAGAAACTCCTCTCTCCTGTCCCAGGGTTCCTGAGTGAAGAAAATTCACACATGCAAAAGAGATGCAAATGCCTTTATTAAAATCATTGATCTAGTCCTGGAAGCCAAGACATGGAAGAAAGGAAAGATGCCAACTGTCAAGGTGAAGTGTGGACAGAAATTTTTCTTCTTTCTTGTTCTAGCCTCATCCAGAAATCATAATCAACATAAAACAAATATTCACAAAATATCCTGAAAACCAAAAACAAAACTTTAAATATTTACCTATGTTATTAAGGAACTCTAGATTTATTTTTCTAAGCTTGTTCAGAGAAAGAGATTATTGTAAGTTAGCAAGTAAATGTGGGATTTGCTGGCATTGTTGTATTTCTTTTTATTGTTTTTAGGAACAAAAATGGAATACATTTCAATAATGTACATTCGCCATAGAAAAATTTATTGGGAGACAGGAAATAACTTGCCACTTACACTTTGGTCAGAAACTCAGGTGTGACTCTCAGAACCTTAGAGCAAGGTGTGTCCCAAACACAGACACAAGCAGAAATGAGAACACACAGATCCCTGGCTTCCACACAGCTGCCTTTGCAGAATCAAGAAGCTCCTGGCAAACATCAGAATGTGGGGTCGGTCAAAAGTGTTCGTGGGGAATGTGTGCGTGGAGGAATCTTCCTGAATGACTGTGGAAGGGCAGATGCTGCCTGTGTCCTGAGAGGCAAGATGGCAACACCCGGTTCAGGAGAAACCACAGGCCCCAGTGGAGTCTCCCTGGCTGAAGCCACCAGACTTCACATCTAACCAACTGCAGTCGGAGCCTCTCCCAGGAGTGCCATGTTCACCAGCCTGTGACTGCCCCAGATCAACTTCTAGTGAGGTGATCTGCCAGACAGGACCCTGTTGCCCTTCCCCCACAGAAAGGCTCCCTTGCCTGACCCCTGCCTTTTGTCCTTTGGCTTTTAACTTCCTGGCCCCGCCCAGTTTGTGCCTACAACACCTTCCATTGTGTTCCCTCCTCTGAGCAGCTCTCTGTTGAGTAGATGAGATGCTGCCTGGTTCATGGAAAATTCAATAGAGCCGGTCTTTACTTTTCCTTGGATGAATCTTTGTTCTTTAACAACTAAATAAATCGATGTGTATACTTTTCTTTGGTGTCATTCTGCCTGTGGGTATATTCCCAGATCAATCCTCCCCCAGGGGACTGTTTCATGTGGTGAAGGTGGTAAGTGGCCATCAGAGTGTCCACTTTGGGGCAGCAGACAGGTGAAGCCTGCAAGGCTCATCAGAGGTTCGTCTGCCAGCACCGGAAGCAACAGATGAGTGGACATCCAAAGTTATCTTAGAACTTTGCAATTGACTTTAAAATAGGAACAAGTGAGGTATAAACTTTGATCACTTAATCTGAATGTCAGATGTATGCACACAAAACAATGTCACATATTACAAGACTGAAACA